TTTCTGAAGCGTCTATAAGGCTCAGCGTAAGTATTTTATACAATCCACATTTAATAAAGTACTTAAATTTTTCTCCATTTTCTCACAAAACATATGGGGATTTGCTTGTTGGCTAACCTCAATCTGACCTTCGCTATTAATTAATTATTAAATTATCCATACTTTGACACAGTAATAACTTTAAAACAGGACTTGCAGAAAACAACCTATACGACCAATATATAAAATATGGAGAATTGTTATTATTAAAATACATTTAAATAAGCACTTGATTGTGTTTACTTGATTGTGTCCTGTTTTTCATAATCTACTTTTATATCAACCTTCTTTGACCTCATCTGGCTATTCGTTGGGACCTTATCTGCTGCCTGCCCTGACCTCTGCCTATTTATCTGACGTACGGTTTCATTCTTCATATCTGCTTGTTTACCACGTGAATATCCTGTCAAAATATAAACAAAACACCTCATCTCTATTATTGCCCAGTATAATGGTAAATTGTCAAGAGAAGTCCATAATGAATATTTGATTTTCGATACTTTGTTATTTCATTTTTCACACCTGGGAACTCTCCCTTTGTTAATTTTGGAATAATGATTAATGTTGAAAATTGTTGTTCATAGGAATTAGAGCAAATTGTGCCTTAAAGGAACACTATAGTCACCAGAACAACTACAGCTTAATGTAATTGTTCTGGTGAGTATAATAGCTCCCTTCAGGCTTTTTTATGTAAACACTGCCTTTTTTACATTGCCCTTAGGGACACCTCCAAGTGGCCACTCCTTAGATGGCCACTGGAGGTGCTTCCTGGGTCAGTGCTGCAGAAAAAGCAGTCCTGACATTCAGCGTCCTCACGCTCTGCTTGGAGACGCTGAATTTTCCTCATAGAGATGTATTGATTCAATGCATCTCTATGAGGAGGTCCTGATTGGCCAAAACAGCATTTAGCCCCTCCCCAATGCCGATTTTAGCCATGGCAACTTGACACAGATTTTATGCTCCGAGTTGAAGGCCTGCAGTACCTCGCCCATACTAAGCAAACAAAATGGCGGCCATCCATTCATAAAACATGCAGGCCCTGCACCCATCACAAAAGCCTTACCATGACTCCATTGAATCTACTTTGCTGCACCTAGATCACATCTTCTTAAGTTTCTGGCTAATACAAGAGTGCACACAGGCTGATCTGTCTGAGTGGCAGGAAGGTACGATGGGAAGCATGGTGTCGGAGTGGAGCAGACCTTCTACTTTATTTTATGCTTCTAATCTCTTCTAAATGTCTTGTTTTTGCATCAGTGCGCTCTTCTTATGAGCTATATGCTTAGCTATCCTTAACTGTTTAGGCATCACTCATCTTTATTGCTCCTATGACTTGCCTTGTCTAGATATTTTATCCAGTTTAACAAATGTAGCTCAGCACTTAGACAACTATGCCCAGCTCATGCATTCTCTTTGTCTTAAGCATGTTATGTGATGAGCAAAAACCTAGCAAAAACTCACTGTACTAAACAAGTATGCCTATCCTGTTTCTATTTTGCCACTTATTTTATGTAAAATTGTGCCGAAATCTTCTAAGCCATGTTAATATAAAGTTTAATCTTGAAACGCATGCTGTTGCTGTTGTGGCACTGGGAGCTCAGTTTGTTATACTTTTACACAACAAAAATAAAGATTGATAAAAAAAAGAAAAAAAATGGGTTTTGCATTGATAAATAATGCATGGATTAAGCACCTATTGTCAACCATCCTGAGGTCTGAGCTGGCCCATGTCAATTCTGTGCATTTTTGTTGCACAGAGGGTCAGTCATTGACTGAGAGCAATTATCTGATGCTGAAACAGAGAGTACAAAACACCACTTCTGCAGGTCTGTTCAGCTGTCATTCAGCTCCCAGCAGAACCCAGGTAATAGGCAAACCACTGCAAAGCTGTTTGCCTCTTGTTTGGAGTGACCCTTTAATCTTGTATATCTTGTTCCACGGGCTCCTTGTTCTTTTAATGAGATTTATTTGTTATGAGGTGCTTTCTTTGTCTTCCTTAAAAAAGATACAGTCATTTCAAGAAATGTCCAACTTAGTTAATACCATAAACTGTTATGCAATTGCTTTTTAGTCATTGAACATTCTGCTGCAAAATATATTTGTAGGTAGTTTTGTTATTCCTCGAGCTTAGAAATCCATAGGTGATGAGAGAAGCTTTCATTTGACAGGAAAAATGCCAAGCTACTGATTGGAGAAAATTAAAATGTAAAAAAAGGTCTTTTTAATCAAAGACTTCATGACTTAACGTGTTGTTTTCAAGGCCAGATGTCAAATAGTTTTCATTGATGTTGATGTTAAAGTTATTACCAATATGATTCCAAGAATAGGTTAATTGTGATAGCATTTCAGTACAACACAACCCTTTTTAATTAGGGAAAAATCCAGCAAGGCAATCTATTATTTGTAAAAGAAAAAAAAAATGTCTTGATGTAGTAATTCATAGCTTCTACTTCAATGATTACAATGGACTTGAAATATCATTCACTTATTCAATATTTGTTACTCAGTCTGTCAATAGCTATCAGTCTGTTTAGCCTGCTAATGTTAAAATGGGCCTGGAACAGGAGAAATTTCAAAAAATAAAAACACAAAAGCATTATTAGTCTGTGTTATGCCTGCCGGGGCCTAAAAATAGGAATCAGCTGCAGGGGAAAACATGGCTAGTAAGGAAACGGTCCTCTAGCTGAGCCTTTAGTTAAAGGGACACTATAGTCACCCAGATCACTTCAGCTCATTGAAGTCTGGTTGCAGTGTCCCTGCCCCCCTTAGTCCTGCAATGTAAATCATTGCAGTTATTGCAAAACTGCAATAAGTACCTTAGTGGCTGTCAATCAAAGTTAACATGTCGCCTAAATGATGCTGGACGTATTCACACTCTACATGAGGATATCCAGCTTCATTGAAACCCTAAATAATCTTACACCTCATTGAAACCCTAAATAATCTTACACCTCATTGTAAATCATGTGAATTGTTAGGGGCCTGGGAGGGCTGAAGCCTCAAATGTGGAACCTCTAGAATGTGGGTATGAACACAACCCTGCATACACAAACACACAGTGGCGGACTAAGGGGGGGCGGAGGGGGCGGTCCGCCCCAGGTGCCACCTGGTAGGGGAGTGCCATAACCTAGGTCTGAGAGCTAAAGGGGGTTGTGTGAGCTGTGCCCCATGGCAGCTGGGGTGTCACACAGCTCACACAGAGACCAGCAAGATAAACTGGAGAAAGAAGGGGGCGGAGCTACTGATATTTAGGGGCGGAGCCTAGCCGCGAGCAGGGGCTGCTGTTAATGCTGCACATGGAGGTGCAGCAAGTAGAAATCCCTGCACCTCCACCTACCAGGACTTCAATGAATCCACTCCTCCAGCCCACACTGTAAGTAAGTATAAGAGTGTGTGTGTGTGTGTGTGTGTGTGTGTGTGTAACTGCCTGAAACTGTGTTTGTGAGTGTGTGTGACTGTCTGTAACTGTGTGTGTGTGACTGTCTGTCTGTAACTGTGTGTGTGTCTGTCTGTCTGTCTTGTGTGTGTGTGTCTGTAACTGTGTGTGTGTGTGTGACTGTCTGTAACTGTGTGTGTGCATGACTGTCTGTCTTGTGTGTGTGTAAGTGTCTGCCTGTAATTGTGTGTGTGCGTAACTGTCTACCTGTAACTGTGTGTGTAACGGTCTGCCTGTAACTGTGTGTATGTGCGTAATTGTCTACCTGTAACTGTGTGTGCGTAACTGTCTACCTGTAACTGTGTGTGTGTGTGTGTGTGTGTGACTGCATGCCTGTAACTGTGTGTGTGTGACTGCCTGTGACAGACTGTTCTTTATTTTTGTTAGTGCAGTGTAAGTGTTGGGATCTTAACAGACATTCGATTGCAGACACACACAAATTAGCACAGGTCCTGAAACCCGCTGAGCTGGTTGTGGATGTAACAGAGGCTGGTTGGGGACAGGATAGACTGCCCTAAATAGGAAAGAGATATAAAAATTGTGCGAGCAGTGGAGATTGGAGATTGGGGTAGGAAGTAGTACCTCGTGCATGGATACCCCTAATCAATGGGGTTGTGAGGGGAGGGGGGACTAGATGCCAAATATCTGTCAGCTGTGGGCTGGGTGAACTTACCCCCAACCTTAAGTGGACAGCACATCCAGTTTTATGGTTATCAAACAGATTAAAGGAAAGCAATGGAAAGCATAAAACAAATATTGAAAAAACACAATTGCATTACATTTAAGAACGTCAGGGCTGCCATACGCCTATGAACAACTGTGAGTTTAGGGTGACTGATGATTGACTCCCACGACAGTAAGGTGTTTGGGTGCCACGAGCCTCGGGCTCTCTGAGTAAATGGAACAATGCTGGCTGGATCCCAGGTGCTTGTGGGGGGTCACACGTGTTTCTTCGTTGCGTTCCGCTAGTCCCAGTGTTGCCAGGAAGATGGGTGCTTCTGCCACTGATGTTAGCGTATGGGTAACTCCATTGTGGGTTGCAATCAGTGCCCAGGTGCTTCCCACTGGTATGTCACTACTGCGGCTCTCAGCTGGGATGCAATGGGCCCAAGGGAGTTGCACCAGAGAAGGGGGGCCTTTGTGAGGTCTTGATAGAATGACAGAGGTGCATCTTCAAAAGACAGAGGTGTTTTTCCCTTCAAGGCCAGCATAATTGTGTTTTTGTCCTGTAATAACATCCCTAATCTGGTTAGATGATTTAGAGGAGCCTGGTATTCGGTAAACACCATTGGTTGTCACTCGTTTGACTGCTGAGCCAGATAGTATGGTTGTAATGCAGGAGCTCTTCAACCGTGACTGTGGCGGGGATGCCGTGGACTTTTATGTGATTGCGGCACTGTCTGTCCTCCAATGTGCTCGTTCAGTGAGACAGGGCAGTCTGGTGACATTGAAGTTGTGTGATTGAGTTGCCAGCGCTAGAAAGATCGTACCGCAGACTAACAATGTCAGATTCCGACACCCTCACTCATTGTGTATATCAGCCAGAAAGGCCTTTAGGTCGTCTTTAGTGGTAGGAGCCGAGCCATCAGGAGGGTCTGAAAGATGTCCTTGACTGGCCTGAAGATCAAGTGTGGCCTCATGTATATGTTGCTCCGGCAAGGTTGTAGCATGCGGTACTTTCACAGGGTTCGTTCTAGTTTGTGCAGAACTCTGCAACAGGATTCCTATATCCCTGCCATCCACTGCGGTGCTCAGTTTTTGTGAGCGATGTCCCATGACTGGTATAGGCAGCGTGGGTGTCTCTATCAATGAGACCCCGTAGTTGCACCACCAAGCAGCAATTCCAGGCCCTTGATCGTCGGTGTGTATTATGTCCCGATCTTGCACCTCAACTTGGGCTGTTTAGGTGAGTGAAAGAAAGGCATTGATTGATGCAGCTCGACTTGGGCGAAAAAGTTAGAGGTGTTGTGAAGTTGGATGAGCTCTTAATCAGGAGATATTTGGCAGATTTTGATTCAGCAGCGAAGAGCCGTCAGAAATGGCATCTGAACGGTTCTCTTTCCAAACTCCGCCCACTAAATCAAAACTTTTTTTTTTAAATAAAAGAAATATATATATATATTAAAATTAAATATTAATATTAAAATAGTTTTAATAATTGAGCGGCTGCTACCACAATATTAGCGGAAGGTTTCCAGAGCATGTGTTGGCGTGCAAAGCATCATGGGAAGATTATGTATTCAGTTCATACATTTCATTAGCACTGGGGTGAGAGACACAATGTAACTGCTCAGTAGTGATAGTTTATCTTTCATGCTCTCTAAATAGCTCTCATCCTGGTACCTTTAAGTAGAATATCAATATTACTTTACACATAGTATCAACTATTGGACTAAAAATTAACTAAAATGTTCCTGGTTACCTTACAAACTCATCTCTGCATTTATTATTAACAAGAACAATATTTACTGTTATTATCAGGCTGGAATATGTTCGTCAATAGTTTTGGGGGGAAAATTCTTAAAACTAGATCATTTTGATACCATTTGGGGTTACTATTCAGACATTGGTTGCATTTATTATGGCCTGATTTTTTTTTTACATGACTACTGATGTACCCCAGCTAATGAAGCAGAATGCAAGTATATTTCACAGATAAGAAATGTCTGACATTTCATTCAGTTAATTGTAAAAAAAAAAAGCTAATTGAATCTCGCTCCCAGTGATAAGTGTTTTGCTCTTTTTTCCAGATCACGTTTCCACCGCTGTTTTTTTTTTACACTCACATATAAACGGCTATCCTTAATCCATTTTTTTTTTCTCCATTTATTCTAATTGCCTACACAGGACATTCTTTGTATAAATATTATGTTGCTAAAGTTCAAAATCCTTCTGGGTATGAAGTAGAAACATTGGTAGTTTCTCTATCAGTGTCAAGAGATAATTTAGAAAAAAAAAAAAAGGAAAAATACACATACGGATCAACTAAATTTACAATACTCACAAGATGTAGTTTTCTGATGAGGGCTTTGATTTAACACATAAATCCTTAGAATAACGTTTAAAAAAATGAAGACACCTAACTACAAACATTCCAATATTTTAATTGGGAAAACGGACATCAGACAAAACATCACAGTATAAATCATTAAAGGGAAATTGAAGTAGAACCATTTATTTGGCAATCTCAAGAAATGACACCGGCTATCAACCAATGTACATCACAGTGTACTAACCTATAGTTACAGGCCTTATCTTGCTCATACCACTCAACCAAAAGGGGTAAGGAAAAATCATGTACCATGGATACATTAAAGTGGCACTGTTATCCCTCCCATAAAAATGTGTATTTTATAAAGATAGAATCTTTATGAAATACGCATTATGGCCGTGTTGGAATTCCACTGAAATTCAAACCCAGTCAAGAGATATACATGTGCAGTTTCTCTGAAACTGCTAAGTTTGTAAAAAAAAAATGGGTTAATCCTAGCTGGACCTGGCACCCAGACCACTTCATTAAGCTGAAGTGGTCTGGGTGCCTAGAGTGGTCCTTTAATAAATTTATTGTAATGCATCTATTTGGTGAATGGTTTATATTGCTGACATCATGTTCCCTTATATATCATTTTTTGCTTTATGTAATTGTATGCATAGATGGACTTTAAGAGCCTTCCAAAAACAAATTAAGTTTAACTCTTATTTTTTTCCACTATATTTAATTTTTGTTGTTGTTTTTTTATGGATATGCTGTACTACATCAAAGAAGTTTATACACTAAACAGGGCATTCTGGAGAATTGAAGGAGGGAATTACAAACTGTAATAAATTCAAATAAAATAAAAATGATCTGTAATAATAGATGGGAGACTTTTCCATATTTTGTCATATAATCTCAACAATCCCCCCAAAAAACTTGCTGTCTATTATTGGTGATTCAAATGATAAGCACGTTACATAATTGCCTTTTTATACTGTACCACACCTTCACAAATGCAACAGCATATGGCGGAATGAAAATCCAGAGATGAGAATCTCAACAGCTGGAGAGTTACCACTTGAATACCCTGCATTAGCCCTACAGGTTAAACAATGCACAGCAATATGGGAACTACCATCATTCAAGACGAAGTCTCAGTATTAGACTCATTAGTGGATGTCCTTGATAGAGTGATGTAAATAAACATAATTTAAGAATCATGCAAGCTTTAAATAATGTTTAACTCGGTACTAGTTAACCTCCCCTTTTTATCCTAAAGGGACACTATAGGCACCCAAACCCCTTCAGCTCATTGAAGTGGTTTAGGTGCCTATTCCCAGGTCACTTAACCTTGCAATAGTAATTATTGCAGTTATTGAGAAACTGCAATAATTACTATACAGGGATAACTCCACCTATAGTGGCTCTCTACCAGACAGTCACTAGAAGGACTTCTGGGTCGTTAGGCTACTTTTGGTCGCCTAACTGGCACTGGACTCCCTAAGCTATGCATGACGATATCCAGCATTACTCAAAACCCCATAGGAAAGCATTGCTTAAGATTGGTGGAGGGCATTATATAGAGCTATAGGTGGGTGGAGGGCATTATAGAGAGCTATAGGTGGGAGAAGGGCATTATAGAGAGCTATAGTGCCAGGAAAACAATTTCGTTTTTATGGCACTACAGATTTCCTTTAAATTGTAATGGGTTATTACATATACACGGTGGGCCAAAATTCAGAGTAGGGTTAAAGGTGTCGATAACATATTTTAAATGAGCTCCATCAGCCGCCTCCCAGAGTTGGCCTCCTTCGATTCCATTGTTCCTAACATTAGTTAAAGTCTGAGGCTTTAGCACTTGTATTTCTGCACGGATATTCTCCTTGAGCTGCTCAAGTTTACGCGGTCTATTCACATACACCCGCTCCTTCAGTATATCCACACAGGAAGTAATCTGGTGGCCAATTATTCTGGGAATTTCTTGAAACAGTTGTCTCAGTTTTGAAAAAAAAAATTCCACTATTTTTACTCGTTGTTCCTTCGTGTAATTTCCCATGATGAATCTCCCAAAACTCCGTTATAATATGTACCAGCAACAAAAAAATTGAGCTACTAACAAATAAATTATTTACTCTGAATTCTGGCCCACCCTGTATGAAAGAACTAGCACTTTTCTTAGTTTGACAGTATTTTAAACAGAGGCACTACACATTGTCAGAGAATGTAATTTTACATAATAGCTTACATACAGTTCTTCTAAGAACAAGAGAAAGATAGAGCTGGCTTTTATCCAAAACTCATCACACGGCTAAGGGGGGGGACCGAAAGATGAGCAGATAAGAATACCTTCTCTAATACGCAAGACAATGCCTCGCATTTTACCTACTGCTCAAGGGATTCTCATGTAAGCCACCTGCATCTACATGACATCACAAAAAGAAAGGTGATGGGTACTGCTTATTACATATCACATATCACTTGGGATTATATGAATCTTCAAGGCAAGAGATAAAATTCATCTTTCATCTACAAAGCAATATCAATTATTTGTCTCACGTTTTGTTTTTTTTAACCTTTCATTTAGGGGAATAACAAATGTAATGCAACAGTGAAAACATGGTATGCACTGCACTTTACACAAAAGTAGTAATTCATGGTTTACTAATCTTTACAGTTATGACAAAGTATATACATTTATTTATTTAGTATGGTGGCCAAACTAGCAATTGGGGCAACGTTGAATTGCAGAGAACCTTTAATAGATACACAATTAAATAATTTTGTCATCACCCCTTTTAGAGCTGACAGCAAGGTAGAATCCTGCCTTAGGGGGGAGTTCAATAAATGCCTAAATCTGGGTCAAGAGTGTTAGACCTTTCACTTGAGATGTTTAACAAGGAGAACAATTTTTCCATGATGAGACAAAGGCTTGTTAAACTATTATCACAATTTGAGGCTAATTAGAAGCTGTTTTCACAGAATCTCAAAAAACCTTGCATTTTGTGAAAGTATTAAGAAAGACAACTTGTCAACCATGAAAGGTGATGTGTATTTTTATGCTAAAATGCAATCTACTAGATTATTTAAGTCAGCAGGGTCACCATTTTGTATGATGCATTTTCAGCTTAGAAGGAACATGGATGAGATCTATCACAGTGTTGTGAGTCAAACAGTATATTAAGCCATATTTGGTAGAGGCATGTATACAACTTGCACAGATATTTTCTCAGAACTTTCACCAGAAAAACAAAACAAAAAAGTAAAGCTTGAGATTAATTTTTTTTCAGACTACAGAAAATGACAGATTTTATAAGTGACAGTATTTGAAAGTCGACTTTTCCAATTTTATTTTCAAGGTTTGAGCTTAAAAGTGAAAATTTTTTCTAAATTTCTTTAGCAAATCCAAAAACAACTGGGGATATTACATTTATTAGAGTTTACAAATGCAATTTAAAAATAACTGAAAATATAAACATTTGTTGGAGTTCAAATATAACTTTTATCTGTGGATTACGGATCTAGATGGAAAAAATGTCAAGTGGAATTTCGATGTATGTTCCCTTTCTCAATGTCAGTGTGGGGCATTTATAAAACAGATCATTAACTCCTCAAGCAAATCGCTGCCATTTGGATTTATTACATCAGTAATGTTTAGATAAAGGGTCGGTAACCTTGCACAGTGAATTAGGCATATTTCAGAAATATTCGCTTGCATAAACTAATGATATATGTGCAAACTGCAACATGCTAATCATATGTAAACTATTTCAACCATCTGCAATATCTGTCATTGCTATGGAGGCAATATATTTAAATATATATACATGTTATGTGTTGAAGTGTCTACAAGTTAATGATTATATATTTGGAGAAAATTTTGGTAGTGTGCTGTGATTAAAGAAATAAAAAAAAGAG